AATCACAAATGCGGACTTGGACTTACCACTGGTTATGCTCATTCATTACCTAACTATTTCGCTTTTACATCAAAATATGTGGAGAAAACCCAGTTTGAGGGGGCACTCCATTGCGTTCTCCAATACTTAAGATGAAGAATGAGAGCACTTCCCCTCAAAATGGGTTTTGAAGGTTTTCCAATACTCGAAGGCAAGAATCAGGATTACATTGATGGGTTGATTCCAACTCAAATGTGAAAGTAGGGATGAGAGGTGGACCGCCAATGAAGAAAAGGAAAGAAAATCCTGACATGCACAGGAAATACGAGCATTTTGCTCAATGCTGTGGGAAAGTTCAAAGACAGGGAGGGAGATGAGAGATAATGTGAGCGCAGAGGGTGGTAGAGAATTCCGAGAAGAGAGAGCATAGCAGATCAACGCAGCGACGCAGACAAGACATCGATCGGTGGGCGGACCATGTTATGTTTGGTGGAGTCTGTTAGAAGTTCATGGCGCCTAGGGTCCTGGTGACGGGTTTCGATGTAGAAAGGTGGCGCTAACTTTGCACTTGGGTGCCCAGCACTTCTAGCCATGGTAAGGGCTTCTTAGGTGGGTCTGAGCCCGAACTTTGCCTTTAAGATAAGAATGAGAGCACTCGTGATGAGCAAATCGACTCATACTAAGCATACTGCTGACAAACAACCGTGTAAGTGTGAAAGTAATCGTGAAGGTGCTTCCACAATTTAGCCTGCACTCCAGGAAACAAGGATTCTATATCTGCGGAATAGAGATCACCGCCTCGTCCTAAGGGTGGAGGAGGTTTACAAGGTGGACGAACGGCGTATGCACAAAAGGATGGCAGGAGACGGTTAGTGTAAGTATCCACCGGTTCTTATCGGAAAAAATTCACATCCATAAGCGAGTTGTTCACTATCTAACTTTATCCTCAGCGTGTGAAGATACCCAAAGCAGTGGCTCTTTAGAAGTAACGCATAAGGAAAAGATAGTAAGGCGCCGAAATATGTAGGCATCGAATAGCAATAACAGGCATCAGGAGCAGCAAGCCTTATGATTTCTTCTGATCGTCAGCTAGCGGTAGTGCAGTATAGACTTACCCCTCCACATCTCTGGAGGCGATCCATTCCCTTCACCCACACACAGAATTCCTTTCAAGAGTAAAAGGCGCGTGAGATAGGGTTATAGCCCCTCCATATCTACCTTTTGCACTCATATCAAACACTAGAGGGTCGCAGATGTATGGCGTGTCCTATGACCCGCACCCTTGAGTTGGGGATAACACCAAGAGAGTACGTGCTCACTTCGAGAAGGATAGCGTACGGTCATTGATAGAGCAGCTCGTGTAAGATCGGTTGTGGAAAACCGAGCATGCATATGGCGGAGACCTTATGTCCTTATGTTGAGAGGCGGCGCAAGCACTTGTATTTATGTAGTACGAAGGGTCCACGGCTCCACTATGCGCCGTAAGATGGCGCCCTACCAATTCTTTTCACTCCTTATACGAATATTCATATTACCGATCCTCTTACCTATTTGAGCATAATTTGAAAGTGATGAATGAACAAAATAAAAGAACTATAACTCACATCCATAACCGTAATCCAGAGGAATACAATGACCACACGAGACTTGGCAGTTGCAAGCCATCCAGAATGGCGTTTTTCGACATTCTCCGAGCAGACTCCAGTACGCACAGCAGACGTTCTCGTTGTAGCAGCCTTCCGAAGCTTCGCATGTCGGTTGTTGTGGAACGATCGTGGTTGTGGCAACTAAATTACCCTTCGGTCTGACTTGGCTTTGGGCTGAAACAGTGAAACTCATTGGACAGAGACGTTCAGAGTAGTATTGACACTTGAAGCTTTTGTAATACATAGAACAATAAAAGGATCGAAGAAAAGCTTTCGGCACTGATCAACCCCTTGAGATGCGCCTCAACTTCGACATCCTTTCAGGAATTGTAGTCAGACTCAAATGCGATTCCTCTTATACCCGGAGTCCACTGACGATTAAGTCAGGGTTTTTGTACCACTAAATGACCCGGGTACAGAACAACCATCACAGGAGGGACAGAATGGTGACTGATCCAGGCGAGAATCGAACCAATCAGAACAAGCTGTCATGGAGCATAACTTGCCACGACCACTTGAAAACTCATTTAGTCAAGATCTCAGCAGTCGCATTCGAGCAGTGACAGGTAGTCCTACAACAACACGTATCACCTGTACCTGATCGAAAAACCGATTGCTCTCAGATCAGCCAGCCCTTCATCTCTCTATGGTTCCGTAGTCATCCCGATTCACCCGCCAAATCAGAAACTAGGGGGTGGAATGGAAAGGATGAAATGTTCTCCTAATTTAAAACTGAAATAATTACGCTTCCCTCAGTTCACACCGTAGCTCCCAACTGAATATTAGTGCACATTCCTTTATATCAAAAACTTCACAACAGCCCTCTACACCGACAATAGCAAAAGAATTCGCCACGGGGACAACGGTGCATGGTTCGAGCTCAACAAGTCCCTCGATAAATCATGGACTTTTACGTCATCATCTGAAATGCTGGTCGGAAGGGGTCCTGCATAAGTACTGTCTCTAGAAGACTATCCATCACTTATCGATTGAAGAAATTAAAAAGCAGCTTCAGGCTGGAGCGATTACGGTAAGCCTCGTTGAGCTCGACGGTGACGGCAGATGACGTCATATTCTGAAGACGGTGGGGCAGTGAAGGAGGGCCTGCTTCTGCTTATGGGGGACATCTAAGGAATATTTCAGCCAAAAGTTGCACGTAACTCTTATGCGATGGGAAGTTTGGTGATGACGCCCATGGATAAATGTGACCTCTCTTGCCACTTCCCTGCAACATATTTAATTATTTTGAGTGCGCGTCTCTGGGTGGCTGGCCAAGTGCAAGCGCAAACGCTAGTATCACAGAGGAGGAAAAAAAGACATGTTGCTCATGTCGCACTCAGCACTTTTTACTGTCGCTATGGGATTGCCTTCGTTGCAAGTACAAGCAGGGATGTTCTAAATGTCCTTCTATAAGTAGACGCCAGCCCTTCTCTAACTGCCACACGTCTCAGTAAATATGTATGTCACTCTTTCATGCGTTCGTCAAGCTCAATGAGGTCTTATCCGTAAACAGCGTAAGCCTGAAAAGCTCTTATCAATAATTTCGCTGAACGACTTCTAATGTGATTACTTTCCTGGAACACTAGCCTCCACTATGCTAAGAATCCCCTCGGAACTAGCTTTCCAGTAAGGGTCGTTATGGTACACGATCCTTCGAAGACCCCATTGAGATCGACCAGTGCACCATGTTTCCAGGGCTAATTCTTCTGATGCCGTCCACGTACGTGGCCACTATGAAGATTTTCTTATAGAATGGAATGCGCTCTTCAATAATAAGTTGGAACCATTCGGTTGAATTGAGCAAAGTGTGATTAAATCCATCTGAAAGTGGAGACAAAATGTCTTTTTTTATTGCCCCCCCCCCTGTACATATGAGAGCCAGTATGAGTATGTACATATGAGAGCCCTTTACGATGCTGTAAAGGAGTCGAATGCATGCATCCCAGAAAAACCGTCTGATATTGAATGCATTTCCCTGCCTATCCCTTGACATTTCTATGGGTTCACTTTTCCTTCAACCTATCTTCGTAGGTGAAATGGTATTTCGTTCCTCATTGATATCAGAAGCTTTGAAGAGAAAATGCTGTTTAGTCTTACGAGTCTTACGACACTCATGACATTACCGAACAGATGCAGAGTTGGTAACAAAGGCAGGAAATACGTTATCGACAGCAACTATCAGCTTTTGCCGTGTGTCTGGAAAGAGACCTGAGGAGGAAACGCACAAGCAAGATGCTCACCTGCTGCACCACCACCACACGCTTGAGCCCTAGATTGTCCACATTTTCCGCATGACATTCTGCAATTCTCCGTCATCCATAAAACATTTTTCTGGCATTCGCCCATGGCCGCCCATGATTTGCAGTTCCTGTGACGATCAGAGCAATCTGAAACAGAAAGAAGCTCTGCGGGGATTCTATGGAAATGCAGACAAACGATGACCAAATCTCAAATTGAGAAACGCATTCAGTCTTGAATGGCGTAAATGTTGGCTGTGAAGTAAAATAATGCAAATAAAATAAACAAAAATAAGAACAAAATAAAATAAAGTTAAAAAATGAAAAATAAAATAAGTATATATAGGCGTATGCATGGCCTTTTTACTCAGTGAGACTGCTGAACCTTCGAAATAGGCTAAAATCGGCCACTCTCAAAGTCAGAAAGCAAATACCATGACAATCCCCTT